ATTGACTATGGCAGTCCTGGTTGATTCTTACAGAAGACTATCCTGCAAGAGAATGATCACATTCTTGAACATTTGGTTCGTTAGGCAGTGCATTTTACATCAAGTCACTCCTACTTTTGCCAAGGTTAAAACATCAAGAAACGTACCTGACAAGGAAAGACAGATTTTGGAGAAAAAGATCCTGAAAAGAGAACTTAAGAAGCACTATACAAAACTTCATTATATTAATATAAATCTTAAGATTACTTATGACCAAATTTTACAACAGTATCCTTGGTTTCTTGTCAATGACTCCTTCAACAACATAGAAGATGAGGTCTCCCGTCTACAATCCACTAAGAAGAGATGTCTCAACAACAAACTAAACCGTTTGATTTTACAAAAACAACAAAGAAACAACTCAACACTTATGCATAAGTATTCAGATCATCAATTTCATCCTAGAGTCTTAAATCTAAGTAACACCAACTTTTCACAGGAGGAATTGTATTTTTTAGGATTAGGCCTTAAGTTTTCTTGTCAGAATTTTAGGTTAAATGACTCAGTGCTGGGAGGATTTGCAGTGGAGCTGGACACGCTAATAGAAGGTATGACAAACAATGCTGACATTAAACAATATTTGAGAAATTCTTGCATTAGCTTACTTCAACAACAACAATGTGAGTACAAACGTAATTTTCATAGAAATCATCATTCTTTTAAAAAACATAAGGATTTGCTAAAATCAATTAAACAAAAAATCGATAGAGATTCTCTTGTCCTTAGCAAAGCTGATAAGGGAAATTGTGTTGTAATTTTAGAACAAACTCAATACATAGAAAAAGTAGAATCTTTTCTGTCACATAATAATTTTGTAGTTTTAGAAAAAAATCCACTTAACACCTTTATTAATAAAACAAAAGCAATGGTTAAATTGTTTAATGATACTATCTCTAAATATAACAACAGAAAGTTAATTGTATCTAACCCTATAACACCTAGGTTATATGGACTTCCTAAAATTCACAAACACAATTGTCCCATTAGGCCTGTTGTAAGTTTTTGCAACACTCCAGTTTCTATATTGTCAGAGTTTGTTTATAACACAATCCAATCTATTACTAATTTTAAACCTAAGTTCTCCATTACAAATTCTTTAGATCTAATAGAACGTTTACATAACATCAAAATAGAAGAGAGTTTTTATTTGGTTTCCTTTGATGTTTCCAATTTGTTTACTTCTGTACCAAGAGATGAAACATTACCTTTAGTACACAACCTTTTAAACAATTACAACATACCGGCCAAAGACAGAGATGCTATCTCAACTATGCTCAAATTCTGTCTTGATCAAGACTTCTTCCAATTTAACCAAAAAATATACAAACAACCTACAGGTTTAGCAATGGGTTCTCCATTATCACCTTTTTTAGCTGATATTTTTTTGGACAGCTTAGAACAGAAATTTGTTAACAACAACAACAAAATAATTTTTTGGTCAAGGTACGTTGATGATTGTATAGCTCTGATACAAGGATCCCAAGATGATGCTTTACAGATTCTGGAAGATCTTAATAACCTTCATCCCAACATCTCTTTTACTTTGGAACCAGAATCTGATAATAAGTTGAACTTCTTGGACATGACTATATCTCGCAATAAAGATTCTCTTGAGTACAATATTTACAGAAAGCCCACCCAAACAGATCATGTTATACATGAGACATCCAACCATCCAACCCAACATAAAATGGCAGCTTTCAATAGTTATATTCACAGATTACTTAAATTTCCACTTTCAAATGATAACTTTAATGTAGAACTCAACACTCTCAAACAAATTGCTTTAAATAATGGTTATGATCCCAACATTACCCATAAGCTTCTAAATAGAGCTAAACTCAAAATTACAGAAAAGCTTGCATATTCATCACAAAGTCTTCCCCAGCAAAATGCTTCTAACAATATCAGATATTTCTCTTTTACTTATATTAGTAACATTTCTAATAAAATAGCCAAACTTTTTACTTCTACAGTTGAAAACATCAAAATTTCCTTTAAGTCACACAACACTGTAGGTTCCTTTTTAATTAACACTAAAGACAGGTTGAACACACTTGACAAAAGTGGTATTTACAAATTAAAGTGTGATGATTGTGATGCCTCTTATGTAGGCAGAACCATTAGAAAGCTATCTACTAGAATATCAGAACATTTAAAAAGACCAAACTCTTCAAGTTTTGGTCAACATTTAGAGTCTACCAAACACAATTTCAACATCAATACTGGGTCATCTATTTTGCATGACATCAGTAGAAAGAAAAATTATTTGGAGTTGGATCTATTGGAAGATTTGGAGATCACAAAGGAAACGAATGGAAACTCTCATTGTCTTAATACTCAAATTAATTTAAACTGTACTAAATTTAAACCTATTTTTAAAAACTTTATTACAGCTTCACCTCGTAGTGGACCCAGCTCGGCTGTCTAGACTTCCTGCACTGAGTCTATACATTAAGAATCTACCAATTTCAAGCTCTGTTCAGCAGTACTATTGTATTTAACAATTTACACAACTAGCTTGCTCAGATTCAATTGATTCACAGTTGGAGTTGATTTCACTCTTCATATCTCTGCATAACTTATATATACTAATTCCACAGTTTATATTTCAACACCTGTTGGTCGGTTGGTCTTTAGTAATGCTATTACATATTAGTTTTATAGTTCCCCATTGGCTTGAGGTTTAACTGAACTACTTTAACTATAACCATTTACACACTGCTTTCAATTCTGATCTAATTTTAATATTTCAATTTTATAGTCAATTTTCTTCTCATTTTGCAATATTGACAGTGTAAGGTAGACCATTTTATTGTAGTCAACTACCCACTGTCCAATAGATCGTTTGGTCTATTTCTTTCATTCACACTTTATGTACACTTCATTTAGCCTCAAACCTACAACCTTAATATTATAGACGGGTGTGAGTGTGAGATCTGGATTATGCAATCTAGTTTAAATCAAAATATTCTACATGTCATACGTCATCAGCTGATTTTTCAGTAGTAGTTCTAGTTGGACCTTTGGCCAATGACAACTTATACAGAATTTCAATATTTGTTGAGCACAGATCCATAACTTTGATTGCCTATCAAAGTTGTCATATGTCATATGTCACCGTATCATTTCCGCTTAGATCATTATCCCTCCAGAAACTGACAGAGAATGTAGCGTAGAAGTAATTTTGTCTAATTTTAAACTGTTTGTCCTCGTTTTAGTGTAGTGTTTTGTATAATTTATGTTAGTTTTAATGTTTCCACATCCTACGCTTGCCGGATAGTTCTTATTTTGACGAAGTAAGTCTAAAACGTTAATCTCAAAAACTTTTTTTCATCCATTAACTTCGAGTTTTTTATCGAAGTTAACTAATTTACTTCATCTAAAAAACGTTTTCTTGGCTTATTTCAGATGCCCCTGAAGATGTTTTTTTAAGCGAAAGTACTTGGGCTTGATTTAGTTAACTTGTGCTCGATAATAGCCTTATTTTCAAAGTTAAAATATTTTTTATAAATTAAAACCAGATTTATTTAAAATTGCATCAACTAATTTTTTTTGGTTACCGAACAAATCTAGCTGCACTTGCATCTTTTTTATTAATCCTCATTCCCATTTCTCAATTGAAATTGTTACTCCTGTAACATTTCCTCGCTTGAAGTGCCAATTATGAGAAGTGACAACTAGTCACCACTAGTTCATAAAGACCACAGTAATGTTCAATATTTCTAAAGTAGAAAAAAACATTGTGTAAAAGATGTTACTTATGACAAGAACAACACTCAAAATCAAAGAAATGAAAGAAAAATATATATCAAAAATTGAAAATCAACTAGGACATATAAAAGAACTAGCTGTGGAAAATATGGATTCACAAGATAAAAATATTATGAGTAAACAGCCAAAAATCAGAAGTATTTGAAATGAAGAAAGTTGTAAGACAGGGAGATCCTCTGTAACATAGTATTGGAAAATGTACTAAGAGATAATAAAATTCATAGAGAATGAACAATATACCATTTAAGATCAGTGCTTGACATAGGTTGACAATTTGACTATAGTAACGAGAACAAAAACAGAAGGTAAGTAGGTTATAATAAAATTCATAAATACCATGAAGAGATATTTATGGTTTAGAAATAAATGAAGAAAAACCTACATTGTGACGAGAAATGGCAAAAAAGCAGTAAAAACACTTAAAATTAGTAGCAGTGCTGAACAAAAAATCAACAAATGTGGTAACAAAGATCATTTCATTTATCTAGAAGTGAACATAAAAATATAGAAAGAAGAGAAATCAATGACATAATTAAAATCCAAGATATTATCAAGAAAAATAAAAGAAAGGCTCTACAGAACTGTCATGAGACCAGCCGTGCTTTTAGAAGAGACCAAAGAAAAAAAAATACGAAAGGAAAGGCCTAGAAGAAAATGGATAGATACAATAGAAGACAATTTAAGATAGGACACTGGAAAGGAAATAGGAAACATTTATAGTATAGGAATGTTATTAACAAATTGTCAGAAATACCATCACATTTTGGCATATATTCATCATAGGAAGAATATTTGGGTGTAAATAATTAAAGTAATAAATATTTTTAGTATGTTTTTTTTTATTAATTGACAAAATATTTTTTATAAATTAAAACTAGATTTATTTAGTATTGCCTCTAGTAACTTTTGTTGGTTACTAAATAAATCTAGTTGAACTTTCATTTTTTGTTCTTCCATTTCGACACGTTTCTCCCTTTTTCATTTTTCTAATTTAAATTGTTGCTCTTTTAAACTTGTTTCCTTCTCTTATAGTGCTAGTTCCCTACTCCGGATTTCATACCAGCGATTATTTTTTTTGTTGATACTCTATGGTTAATTATTTTAAACCAACATTTCGTCTTTGTGTGGGAGCTACAAATAAATGATAAATTTACTTAAATAGTTTCAATGAATTAAAAATAACGTACTTAAAATGCTCATTTTTTTTCTCTGGTGTATCTTTAACATTCTGTGTCCGACTTGGTCCTGGCTCCTCAATATTTTTTGACCATCGCTCTCTATTATTTCTTCATTAACTGTAATATAAAAAATGTTTAAAATAACTTTGTGTACTTTATAGACAGTCTATAACTTACCATCAATTGTAGATGTGTCATCGAATATATTTATTAACGCATTTTTCCTTATAGCTATACCCTCTTGGTGGCTGTTGGCTTGACTTTTACCCTTGACAGAGGGAAAAACTGCAAATTCTCTTGATAATACAACTACATGATTTAATAGATCATCCATTTCAGAAACTTCTTCTTCAACTCCTGATCTATAAAAACAAGGACAACTTCAGTGCTTGTATTTAATTTTGTTTATTTAAATGTTTATACAAGAGTACATTAAAAAATACAACAATGTTTACACAATATAGAATTAATTCTATTTAAAAAAGATAAATAAAAATGATGATATATTATTGTTTTAATTACTTGTATTTAAATATAAACATATGCTTTTATCTTGGTTTTAAATTTTTTTTATTTTGTTTAGACCTAATAATCGTGAAGGTATATTATTGTACATCATAATTTAAATAGTTTTCTCCATAATTTTACTGAAATAAAGTCATTGTTTAGTAAAATGATTGTGTTGATCCCTATATTTCTTAAATACAAGATTTGTTTGTTTTATAATAGATAATAAGAAAATTTTAAAAATAATATATGAAGTTCCAATAACGAACAAAGCATAATTACTTAAATGATCAAAATAACCAAACAAAATGTATACTTACTTAATTTGTAGTTTCTGATCCCTCTGACTAAACTTAGTTACTAAGTTTTTTATGCGATCTTTTATTGCTCGTAAGCTCGCATGTTTACCAGTAATTTGGAGCATATTTACTTGGATTAAATTCCACCTTTCAAAATTCTCATACGGGTTCTGGCCTACGACTTCCTTCAACAAGAATAAATCATCTTCATTGCTGAAGTGAAGTCGTTTCCTACTGCATTCCATTATTGTGATAATTCCACAAACAAACAAATATTAAAAAAAAACACGTGCCACATGTGCTGCCGATGAAAACGAAAAGTGGATGTTGATTTTGTCTATTTTGGTAATCGGGTTCGGGTAAGATCCCTTTGTGCATTCGGTAATTTTCGGCTCGATAGAGATGCGTATGAACGTAACGTACCAGCTCGTTACGTTAGGTAAGACGTATCTAGATACGTTGGTTCAATCATTAATGCGCATGCTTATATGTCAAAAAGATACGTTACGTATACGTATTTCCTTGCACAAAAACTCCCTAATAAGGCCTACCGTTATTAAGGGAGCCGTTACGCTTTGCGGAATTCGTTGGCGCAATTTTTTTTCTTGGTTATGTTTGTTGTTTGTGCAAAGATATCTCTGTATTTGTGTCATTTAACTAAACGAAGTTTATTTCTAAATTTTTTTTCAAAATGAGTACATCAGACAGTAGCAAATGGATCAGATTTACGTCTGATGACGATTTGTGTTTATTAAAACAAGTTTTAGGTCAAAATCCATTGACCTATCCAGAAAATTGGAGGTTAGTTCATAAAAACATGAGGAGTGCAACAGGAAAATCCTTTATTATAAGAACTCTAAAGGATCATTTGTTTCTTTTGCTGGATATTTAAAAAAACTGAAGCAGACCAGAAAAAGTTTGTTTTGTAATCCATAAAATTAACAAATAAGACTCATGATAATAAATATATGTCTCTGTTCAGAAAAAACACATTTTGAAAGAGTAGTGTACATATTGTATGATATCTAGACTATTTTGTATTCAACAAAATATAACAATTAAAGTTTTATTTTAGACCAGGAATAGAAGAAGTGTATAGTAAAAGGGACAGATGTTTGCAGGAAATAGCAGATAGGCGTCCGGATTTAACTTTGGTACCTCCTTCGAAAAAGAGGCGAACTGTTTCTAAAGAGAAGCAAATAATCGAATTGGGTCGGAAAATGAGGGATAATCATTCCTCAGTATACCTAGAAAGTGAGACCAGAGATAAAACAGAAGTAGTTGAGGTTGATCATAGTTATGGTAAATAATATGCCTTTCTTTTTCATAATAATATTGTTTAACATAACTATTTTTCAGTTATTTTACCAGAACATCGAGGTGAAGAGGTAATTGTAGACAATTTGGTGGCCGAAGAAGTAGAGTCAAAGCAAAATACACTATGTTAGTATTTATTTATATTAAAACATATATCTTCTTAAACAAATGTAAGAAAGATGCAAAAAAATGATATTCAGAAAATTTGCTTATTTCACTAACTTGTTTTATTATTTTAGATACTCCAAGAACTTTAGGTAAGGCAGAAGACAATAAAAAACAATGGGTATGTTTATTTTTACAAAGTGTTTAATAAAATAAAGATAAGTGGTTACACTTTAAATTTTTAGGATCAGTAAAAAGGAGGCAAAATAAAAGTGTGTTGTTGCGTACAAATGGTTTGGACTATCTAAACAGAAAAAACGAAAAAGATTTTAATATAAGAGCCAGGGAATTGGCTTCAGAAGAAAAAAAAAACTGAATTAGAAGAACGACGATTAAATATAGAACAGGAAAAACTCAGATTTCAAAGATTTCAGGAAAACAAAATGGGAGAATGAATTTAATGAAACAAAATTACAGAGGGAATTTGAAAGAGAAAACATGAAAGCAGACCTGGCCGAAAAAAGAGCACTATAGCTCTTATTGAATCACAATCAAATATTATATATTCTTTATTAAAAAGATTACAAAAATATGAAGATTAATGTGTAAGTTTTATAAATAAAAAGCTAAAATATTATTATATTTTTATTATTTCCCTATATGTAGGTAGTTTTTATGTTTTGGTGTTGTTTTTCTTCTACCTTTAGTCATAATTTCCCTGTTTCCAACATAATATATAATTTTAGGTGTTTATAATTATAACACAAATTAAGAATGAACTAACGGACCAACTCGACATCGAGTTTTTAAAATGAAATTTTTATTTTGCGAGAAAAATTAAGAGATCAATACAAACAATATAAGCAAGAATATACATAACATTCATCAATAATATTGCAAGTAAAAGGTGTATTAAATATCACGAAATATTTCATCGGAAACAATGTTTTTTGTTACAATGTCTTAATTTTCTGAAAACCTTTGCTTGGCACCAGGAGTTATGTAAACTTTTACTTTTTAATAAAAACGAATCCGGAAGTCGACCTCAAAACCGGAATGCAATTTTTAGTTCATCAAATGTTGACATGGATATCATTTAGCAGTTAATTTTGCATGCTGATCACGAATCCGGTGTCACATTTGCTCTATCTTGACGTTTTATGCGCGTTTTGGGCCACTTCCATTGTCGGATCGCAACCGGAAGTACATATTTAGATTTGTCTCGACGACACCTTTCGATCCATATATACATTGTGGGGTCTAAAACTTAAAGTAAATTTTAACTTCCGGTCATCTCAAAACCGGAAGTAAATTTTTGTACCAAAAGTATATCTTGGTAATCTTATACGTTTTAGTATATAAGATTAATATAATATATAAGTAACAAACAACTTAAAAGAAAATATTGAACAAGCAAAAAATTTGAATTTACATCCTTACTGTAAGCTACTGCATCCGTAGGTAGTTTTCTAATGTTGGTGGTACAACGCCAAAAAACCTGGTGGTTTGACTGCCATACCAGCAGGTATGGCAGTTGTTTAATATAACTCCAACTTTGTACATATTTTGTAAATCTTGTAATAGGAGTCTTTGGTTTTTCTTAAAATCTAGAAATGCAAATTGGGTTAAAACTTTCTGAAACCTCCATTCTACAGCAGTTCTAATAACTTTCATTAAGTTATTAAATGCCTGTTGATGTTGTGGTAAACCCTGTCTATTAGGATATGAACATAAAAGCAAGTTACTTATGATATAAGCTTGGTCCCCATATAAAAGATAATTTCTATCGCCAAATGTAGTCAAAGCTTCTAATTCATTATATATATATATATATATATATATATATATATATATATATATATATATATATATATATATATATATATAAATATATATATATATATATATATATATATATATATATATATATATATATATATATATATATATATATATTGTAGCTTTGAGTTTCTTGAACCGTATTATATTTAATATAAAATTAATGTTTCTTGGGTTTAGGTTTAATAAATATACAGTGTAGGTAAAATTTTATGGTCGGTATGGTAAAACTTAACAGGATATCTAACACAGATATAAAATCATATTTTCAGCGAATAGACAAAGATAACAATCATATTCCCCCTTGGTCTCCCCTCCATAAATCTTCTTGACGCCCATTTTGCCTGTTAGTGAGACGATTAGTTCCGATCAGAGATATTTTACATATTCTGTGGTTCCGATCCTCATAAAGCTAAGAAACTAGAGGTGGGTCCTTTAGTTTTTTAAATTTTTATCGGAACGGTTTTTCGTAAACTGTAACTAGTTGATTGTTTACCAGTATTCAAATTAGCGAGTATACAAACATATTGGCTATTATCGTTTATGTGTATAAGTATTAAAGTGAAAGAAACTAACGAAGAATATATTTATTATAACTTGAAAAATAAATTAAACAATACAAATAGTACTTACATTTACATGGACTTAAGTCATCTTTATCAGTTTCTTTTTCTTGTACTAGTCAATTTTCAATAGTATAATCTTCTTTTTCTTTTTTTTTTATAGAAGTAACCAGCTTCAACCATCAACTAGTTGATTTTAACGAATTTAACCGAAAATTTAGAGTTTAACACGGTTTAATTAGACTGCTGCCATTTTTCTGGAAACCATAATTAAGAAAACATCGCTTTTAAAATTAGTGAAATTATTATTCAGGGGTCTAAAACAAAAAGTAAATTTTGCAGTAACTGATAATGCCTCAAATATGGTCATAGCTATTAAATATGCTTTGGAATGAAAACATTTAAATTGTTTTGCTCATACGTTAAATTTATTGATGGAGGACGCACTTAAATGCTGTCGTGTACAAATAGATAAAATAAAAAGTCTTTTTTTCGACAATTCGGCAAAAAACACATTTCAAAAAAGTACCTTATCTTCAGAAACGCGTTTAAAGTATCAATTACAACATAACAAAGATCCCAAACGGCCAATCCAAGACGTGGAAACTAGGTAGAACTTCACCTATTACATGTTAGAAAGAATGACGGAGTTAGAAGAGGCAATCCGTTCCACATTGGTATCAGTTAATACAGACTTAGACTTA